GTTATGTAGACTAGGGGGAATGAGGGATGAACCCAGAGCCAGTGAAGGGGGAAGTAAATACCATATAAATGGGCTCTTTATGGACCTCTTGAACTTAATGGACTTCGCTGGCTCAAGAGAAGAACGTCACATCCGTGTCAGGAAAAATACCTCCCCTGTATACTCATTCATTCCTTATGGCCGGCTAAGGTTTCTAAGAAAGGCATCGTGCATACCTGAGCTGAGAGGACTGGAAAGTACATGCTGGAGAGTACACCGTACAGGGCAGTGAAGGCTATGATGACAAATACCTGTTATGGAGGGGACACAGCTGATGCTGAACAGACTGTATCTTATAATGCAACTCTTAATCATTACGAATGAAGACCAAGAGACTGAGACAATGACGTTTGTAGCAGAACTTCAAGTTCTTCTGCCGCATCATTGGCACTCCCTACAACTCACTCCCATCTCTGTAGAGCAGACCACACAAGTCCCACTGCACAAGTTTCCAACCCTTACACAGAGACAGTATGATCTGAGGAGTTCAAGGCAATCATCTTCTATTGCAACAAGCCGCACTACACCAGAGGTCTTTCTGGCTAGGGCTCTCAAACTATGCAAATTACACTCTCTATCACCTAATACATTTGATATGCATATTTATTGATTTTGTGGTATGCTAATTCATTGTTTATGACTTGTGATTTACTGATGATGCACTTTCCATAAAGTTAGGCTGATCATATCTTTTTACTTGTGTTTTCTATTGTATGACACTGCATTTTCACTTATTGCACATTTTGTTGTTTTACAGCCTGAATTCCAAATTGATTAAATAGTTTTTTTCTCACCCATCTACACACAATACCCCATAATGACAAAGTCAAAACATGTTTTTAGAAATGTTTGAAAATGAAATACAGAAATACACTGCTCAAAAAAATAAAGGGAACACTTAAACAACACAATGTAACTCCAAGTCAATCACACTTCTGTGAAATCAAACTGTCCACTTAGGAAGCAACACTGACAATACATGTCACATGCTGTTGTGCAAATGGAATAGACAACAGGTGGAAATTATAGGCAATTAGCAAGACACCCCCAATAAAGGACTGGTTTTGCAGGTGGTGACCACAGACCACTTCTCAGTTCATATGCTTCCTGGCTGATGTTTTGGTCACTTTTGAATGCTGGCGGTGCTTTCACTCTAGTGGTAGCATGAGACGGAGTCTACAACCCACACAAGTGGCTCAGGTAGTGCAGCTCATCCAGGATGGCACATCAATGCGAGCTGTGGCAAGAAGGTTTGCTGTGTCTGTCAGCGTAGTGTCCAGAGCATGGAGGCGCTACCAGGAGACAGGCCAGTACATCAGGAGACGTGGAGGAGGCCGTAGGAGGGCAACAACCCAGCAGCAGGACTGCTACCTCCGCCTTTGTGCAAGGAGGAGCAGGAGGAGCACTGCCAGAGCCCTGCAAAATGACCTCCAGCAGGCCACAAATGTGCATGTGTCTGCTCAAACGGTCAGAAACAGACTCCATGAGGGTGGTATGAGGGCCCGACGTCCACAGGTGGGGGTTGTGCTTACAGTCCAACACTGTGCAGGACGTTTGGCATTTGCCAGAGAACACCAAGATTGGCAAATTCGCCACTGGCGCCCTGTGCTCTTCACAGATGAAAGCAGGTTCACACTGAGCACATGTGACAGACGTGACAGAGTCTGGAGACGCCGTGGAGAACGTTCTGCTGCCTGCAACATCCTCCAGCATGACCGGTTTGGCAGTGGGTCAGTCATGGTGTGGGGTGGCATTTCTTTGGGGGGCCGCACAGCCCTCCATGTGCTCGCCAGAGGTAGCCTGACTGCCATTAGGTACCGAGATGAGATCCTCAGACCCCTTGTGAGACCATATGCTGGTGCGGTTGGCCCTGGGTTCCTCCTAATGCAAGACAATGCTAGACCTCATGTGGCTGGAGTGTGTCAGCAGTTCCTGCAAGAGGAAGGCATTGATGCTATGGACTGGCCCGCCCGTTCCCCAGACCTGAATCCAATTGAGCACATCTGGGACATCATGTCTCGCTCCATCCACCAACGCCACGTTGCACCACAGACTGTCCAGGAGTTGGCGGATGCTTTAGTCCAGGTCTGGGAGGAGATCCCTCAGGAGACCATCCGCTACCTCATCAGGAGCATGCCCAGGCGTTGTAGGGAGGTCATACAGGCACGTGGAGGCCACACACACTACTGAGCCTCATTTTGTGTTGTTTTAAGGACATTACATCAAAGTTGGATCAGCCTGTAGTGTGGTTTTCCACTTTAATTTTGAGGGTGACTCCAAATCCAGACCTCCATGGGTTGATAAATTTGATTTCCATTGATAATTTTTGTGTGATTTTGTTGTCAGCACATTCAACTATGTAAAGAAAAAAGTATTTAATAAGATTATTTCATTCATTCAGATCTAGGATGTGTTATTTTAGTGTTCCCTTTATTTTTTTGAGCAGTGTATATTGTTTACATAAGTACTCACACCCCTGAGTCAATACTTTGTAGAAACACTTTTGGCAGCAATTACAGCTGTGAGTCTTTCTGGGTACATCTCTAAGTGATTAACACACCTGGATTGTGCAACATTTGCCCATTTTCTTTTCAAAGTTCTTCAAGCTCTGTCAAATTGGTTGTTTATCATTGCTAGACAACAATTTTCAGGTCTTGCCATAGATTTTCAAGTAGATTTAATTCAAAACTGTAACTCGGCCACTCAGGAACATTTACTGTCTTCTTGTTAAGCAACTCCAGTGTATATTAAGGCCTTGTGTTTTAGGTTATTGCCCTGCTGAAAGGTGAATTCATTTCCCAGTGTCTGGTGGAAAGCACACTGAACCAGGTTTTCCTATAGGATTTTGCCTGTGCTTAGCTCCATTCTGTTTCTTTTTTATCCTGAAAAACTCCCCAGTCCTTAACGATTACAAGCATACCCATAACATAATGCAGCCACCACTATGCTTGAAAATATGGAGAGTGGTACTCAGTAATGTGTTGTATTGGATTTGCCTCAAACATAACACTTTATATTCAGGACAAAAAGTAATTGCTTTACCACATGTTTTTTGCAGTATTACTTTAGTGCCTTGCTGTAAACAGGATGCATGTTTTGGAATATTTATATTCTGTACAGGCTTCCTTCTTTTCACTCTGTCAATTAGGTTAGTATTGTGGAGTAACTAAAATGTTGTTAATCCATCCTCAGTTTTCTCCTATCACAGCCATTAAACTCTGTAACTGTTTTAAAGTCACCATTGGCCTCGTGGTGAAATCCCTGAGCGGTTTCCATCCTCTCCGGCAACTGAGTTAGGAAGGACGCCTCTATCTTTGTAGTGACTTGGTGTATTGATACACCATCCAAAGTGTAATGAATAACTTCACCATGCTCAAAGGGACATTCAATGTCTGCTTATTTATTTTTACCCATCTACCAATAGGTGCCCTTCTTTGCGAGGCATTGGAAAACCTCCCTGGTCTTTGTGGACGAATCTGTTTGAAATGTACTGTTCGACTGAGGGACCTTACAGATAATTGTATGTTTGGGGTACAAAGATTAGGTAGTCATTCAAAAATCACGTTAAACACTATTATTGCACACAGAGTCCATGCAACTTATGTGACTTGTGAAGCACATTTTTAGTCCTGAACTTATTTAGGCTTGCCATAACAAAGGGGTTGAATACTTACTGACACAACACATTTGAGCTTTCATTTTTTAAAATTAATTTGTAAAAATGTAAAAAATATATAATTCCATTTTGACATTATGGGGTATTATGTGTAGGCCGGTGACAAGAAAATCTCAATTTAATCCATTTTAAATTCAGTCTGTAACACAACAAAATGTGGAATACTGTCTAATGACACTATGTTTCTGCATATGTACCAAGATGTTGGAATAAACCTAAGATAAATTAATAAAAATATCAGGAAGAAATTCTCAATGTGCTTTTAATTTTTTTAAAGTATGCCTACTAGTAGATACATCTGCACATCAGTGTATCTAGCACATCTAAATTAAACATATATTTTACTGTTTATACCCAATAAAACACAATGTTTGTGTGATCAGTTACATAAAAAACATCATAGGCATTGCATACGTTACCAGTTGCCAGATAAAAACGAATAACTTACCTTGAATCTGACCCTCTTGAACTTTAGTCTGGGTGCTGGGTGTGAGGAGAAAGCCTCCCCTCTGTCACTGCAGTATCCTGGGATACTCATCATCCCTGTCTGTGTGCCACCATCCCACTGAGAATCACAATACATCCCCAGGTGTCTCCCCTTTAGTTTTCCTTACATGTATGCAGGTTCACTCCAGGACTATCACACCCCAGCCACAATAAGAACTACAGAAGAAGAAGAAAGGCAATAGTCCAAAAGAAACAGATTCTTCCTCAGAACTAATAACAGATAACACTTTTTTCCAGGAGAGCCCTCTAAGGTTGTGGCTACCTCTCTCTCTGAGACACTGTCCGTCCCACACCAAACAGCACTGAACTGTACGTCCATTCATTTCCAAACTGCGACACACCCGCTCTCTCGTCCCGCGCACTCTACCCCAAATAAGGAAGTTGCTGCCTCTCTAACCTCCTCCAGACACTAATTCCATGCATTAGTGTGTGTGTGGCGCATGGCAAACATTCCCTAGCTATAATACGTCTGCCTTTCTCTCATTACAGTTGTAATATCCTGCTTTATGATTTAGCTATATGCATTAAACTCAACCACCCTCCAATCCTCCTGACTGTTTTCAACTCTCCACATATTCCTGATCTTATGTCTCCATCACACACGCTACGAAAGCAGGTCAGGGAAGCTGAATCATTAATCCCTTACTTTCTCTCCTCCCCACACACACACACACTCTCTCACTCCACCCTCAAGTACAGAGCAGTAAAAAACAGATAATTCCGACATGCATTCTCTGCCACTGAAATCCCTTTATAAAATGTTCTTATGACATTAAAGGATGGAATAAAAGCAAAATAATGTTTTTTCCCCCCCAGATTCAATCAGAACTTGTTGAAGGATCATCCAGTTGCTCTAGTGACATGGCCCGAATATCCTCTATGGAGGTGGGTTGAGCTCATGGGACCACCTGTTCAGTAGGGAGAAAATGTTTAGAAATGGATTGAAACCGGGAGGTACTACCGGAACTTGCCCAATACAAATACTTTTTTGTTTGTTTTGTGCAGCGTTCTGCTAGTGTTACCCTACTGAATAGTAGACAGGGACAGAACAGTTTTCTCAAAGCTTCACCTCAAAAAGGTTTAACACTTACATACCATGACTGGGATTATTGGAAGCATTGAGTGCATGGAAGAAATCAGAACATCAGACATTTGGATCAAACCAACAGATTATGTTAAACTCTGGTCTTGTATTCCACCTGTGACCTGTACATCCATGCCATAACAAATAATGTAAAACCTTTTTTCACACGCTGTTACTACTCTAGTAACCACAGAACATAGTACCACATCTATCAGTACTCAAACATACTTCGATTGTGGAAACCATGTTTTGCATGCCGTCACTAGACAAGACTGCTTATAGAAATGATGACACAACTGACCTTGGTAAAGCACATCATTCATTCTGAAAATATTTCATTATAGGATCATCTTCAGGGTTTATAATACACTTTAATCTTTTTAATGTTTACATTGGAATGTTAATTACCCATGATCATTATTCTATAGGGTTACAAAAGTCTGATTCACTTATTTACCTCCAATCTCCCCATCGACCAACAATCTGAATCACACACAATTCAGAATAACGAAGAAAAAAAATCCAACAACAATACAAATATTATTTAACTTTTCCCTCTCTCAATTGTATATCATTAGCACAGTCAAGGTGAATATGGCCATTTATATAGACACACTCTGAAACAAGAGAAGAGCCCTGACATTCATTCATACATAACCATGGGGGCTTGTTGCAACGGGGCTGGTTGGCGGTTGGACTGTGGGTGGTGGTGATGGACAGGGTTCTCCTGTGGCACAGTTAGTAAGAGCATGGGTCGTGGGTTCGATTCCCGTTGGGGTTACGTACGTTATACTATGTACTATGTACGTATACTCACTGTACTGTAAATTGATTAAGATAAAAGCATCTGATAAATGGCATATAAAGGTTTGATGTTTGGAGCGTTAGAGGGTTATGGTTCTCGGATTGATAATTTCCATTTGATAAGCAGATTTATTATAACAGTCCAAATCTCAGACAGGACTTTTTCTTTGAATGAGCTCCCTCCATTGCAAAAAATGCAAACAACTACAGTGCTTGAGTTGTACTGGTATGGTACAAAACCAACTTTTTTCAGCATTGAACTACTCCAGGCATTTGATTTGATAGCATATCACAAACAAATATGCCATTATACATCATATATTAACTAGCCTGTAGACAGAGCAGTGTCATACAAAATAAATTCTTAAATAACGAGGTCTTTCAAATGCGAGCGAAGCTAAACTATAAAACATGTAACCTCAATCATTTTAGCTAATATTTAGGTCAGTTCAGTACCAATCACAATGTGTGGTTCTTCTGGCTAAAGCAAAGAGTGGTTGTAGTTTTATACTATGGACCGCAAGCCTGTTTGTATTGGAGTATGTGTATCAAGAGTGTATTTCTGTACATGATTACGACTTATCTGTAAAACTATTAGCCGATAGTTCACAGATTCTGTCTGTCAAAGGATTTGATACATACTGGGCCAATGAGTGTCATTCACACAGCCCACCCCAGATGTCATCACCCCCCAGGTCCACCCAACCTAACCCTGATACAGTTACCCAACCTTGTCCCGTTTGACTTTACCATTCCATCTTGCAGGTGCATTGAGCGGTTCTTTTTACATACAGCTATAGGTCGATCAGTTGATAGATTTCTGGTAAAAAGGTACAAAGACACCAAATGCTGGCAAGCCAAGCCATGGTGCGAAGGGTTTTTCTTTTTGAAAAGGGTTTCAAGTCCACTTCTCACTTTCATTTTGTTTCGTTTTTTCATATGTCAATCCACCGATCTTGTCATCGTGGTGTTGGTTGGTAGTACTGTATGTGAATATATTACAGTATTTCATACTTGTCGACCAGGAACGATGTCTCTGAGGAGAACCTCACTGGAACCTCTCCATCTACCTGGGACACTTTGGCCACCTAGAGGAGTAACAGGAGTCATTATACACCGTCACAATGGAAATATTAGGTTAATACAATAGATGTACATCTACATGGTCTCACAAACTGCTAAAGCCAGTCAGAGCGTGTAGAGACTTACAGGCCGTCATTGTAAACAAGAATTTGTTTTTAACTGACTCGCCTGGTGAAATAAAAGTGAATCATAATATAAATAAATAAGACTGACAGTTATGTCGCAGTAGTTTCCTTTGGAGACGAAGGAGACGTTGACAGGGAAGAAATCATTGGGCTGGCCTGCCATGCTGAACTCCAGACTTCCTGTCTTGTTGTTGAAGTCCACCACGGGTAAACACCACTCAAGAACATTCCGCCGGCTGTCATGGCGATACTCTCCGTCCAGGTCACCAATCACAGGCGCACCCACACCTGACCTGCAGGGACAGATAGACAGATATGAAATTAAACTCAGATGACAGACTGCAACAGTGTCTAAGACCATAGTATTAGAAATTAATATGGAATCCATTGTATAGAAAGGAAAGGATAAAATGAGAAATGGGATCTGAGGTGCTTCAGAGTGGTTTACTTACGGGATGGGAATAGAGATGACTACATCATTCAGTTCAAGTGCTTCTTCCTGAAGCTCATACTCTATGTTGACATCACAGCCAGTGGCACTCTCAGAGGGCCAGCAGTTTACTGGGGAGAAGTAGAAGAACACAACAGTTAGAATGCTTAAAGTGGAACTGACAGTATTTTTTGCAACATGAAATCTTATTCAAATCTGTCCATATACACCCCCAGGAAGATGTCACTTTATTTTATTTTTTTACATTTTCTGACAAGCAAGCACTTAGAAATGGTCATTTTCACATTTTCATAAATTCATAGAATGTTTGGGAATTACATATAGTAAGGCATTTTGGAAAATTCTATAGCAATATAGAGTGGGAAAGCAGCTGTTCATTTGGACAATTAATAGACACTGCAGTAAATAAAACCGAACAAAGACTGTTGGAAAAGCACTCCTCATGAAGCTGGTTGAGAGAATGCCAAGAGTGTGCAAAGCTGTCAAAGCAAAGGGTGGCTATTTGAAGAATCTTAAATCTAAAATATATTTTTGATTTGTTTTAACACTTTTTTGGTTACTACATGATTCCATGTGTCATTTCATAGTTTAGATGTCTTCACTATTATTCTACAATGTAGAAAATAGTAAAAATAAAGAAAAACCCTTGAATGAGTAGGTGTGTCCAAACTTGACTGGTACATAGGATGCTGTATATAGCATTTTAACATATTTAACCAAAAAATATAAATAATCTTATTTTTTTTGTCAAGCTTTAAAAACCGAAGCCAGACTGCAACATTTCAGTAGACTAGCTAGTACTGTGGCATGTGGTACACTTTCCCTCCGCTGCGCGCTGTAAACGCAACACAGGACAGCAGCGCAATTGAATTCCCCGATGCAAGCCCATCAGGCTATAATGTCATGAAGTAGATGACTCAACTGTTGACTCATTTATACTCGTTTGAGTGTACCATTTGGCCCGCAGGCCTTGTGTTTGACACGTGCGCTAGCCTATTAGTCAGGTTATGATTGACTTGTGATCATTGCCCTTACTAGTTTGATTGTATTGACATTCCCAGTCTTAGTTACAGTTGTCAGTTTCTGTTCAAATTGAGTCATTGAAACAGTGCATCCCGATAGGGTGGCGGCAGCAAACAATGTATCAGGCCAGCTGTGATTTACAACCTGATAGCAATATTTTTTTGACTTCCAAGAAATGTATTGGTGAATTGTATTAATTATGTATTGAACGGCATCCATCTATTCTACCAACAATGCCTTACTGTACGTCATGGAATTTTGAGTCAAATAGAACCTATTTTTGAAACCTCTTTTAAAAGTTGGTTTTGAAGCATAAACTGGGAATTTGATATTTGACTAATATTATGAGTGTCTGTCTGTTTCATATGTGCAAAGTAGTTAAAACGCTGTCAGTTTCACTTTAAAACATGCCACTTCTTGAAGAGCATAGTCAGAACTACACATTTCCGATTATTATACATTTAGCTCTATCATCAGAGTTATACAGCAATAACTGCATGCTTTTCATGATCAGCAAACATCAATTGATCATGTATTTTAAGGTACGTGAGGGTAGCCTATCCATTTAGCATGTAGTTAGCTCGCTAGCTAAGCAAACAACGTGTCAGCTTGCTTCATCAGAGATTAGGCTTTTGGAAAGAGCTTTACTTCGGCAAGTCCTCCCTTTCTACCGGTAGCTTGCACATCATCAGCTAACAGTACATCGGCAAATGCTCCCTTCTGCTGCTTGACAGGCAGAGCCCATAAAGGATGGTACATTTACATAAACCACTCATACTTGACAGGTATAGTTTTTTATCACTCAAATATCCAATTAATGGTGGAGAGATGTCATGAGGCTACCCTCACGTATCTGAAATTACATGATTAATTGATGTTTACTGCTCACGAAAAGCATGCAGTTACTTGCTGTATAACTCTGATAGAGCTAATTGTGCGCAATTGTTTTGCATGGAATAATCAGAAATCTGTAGTTGTGACTATGCTCTTCAAGAGGTGATGATATTACAACCAAATAGTTAACATTTATTTAACAATCCCTTGAAAACGGCATGGTTTTAGCAGAGCTGGGGTTCTCCTTGCCCCCCAGCAGGCAAATCGAACACTCTGCACCTTGTGACGTTTTATTAATAACAACCTATTAGAATGCTTGGAACACTATAGTTGGAATGCTTGGAACATTGTATTCCAGCTCTCCAGAGAGAGAAACACTGAGGAAATACACTAGTATAGAAACACGTAATACTCTAGTAAAGTCTACTGACTCGTTAGTGGTATGAGGGTGTCATCTGTGGTCTGTAGCCTCCACTTGAGCACGCCCACGTCATTGTTCAGAGGGAAGGACTTGTCTGGGTTCTTCAGGCCCAGCACGGAGTCTGTGGTGAACATCTTCTTATCCACGTTGGGGTGGGTCTGGACAGAGCAGGGAGGGAGAAAAACGATAAAACACATTGTTAAAGTTCCCATGGCATAAAACGTGGAACCGTGCTCATGCTGCACCGAAAGCAAATACAACTAACTGCGGCCATTTTGAACCTTGATTTATACAGCCCAAATCCATGAATGCCTTGACATGTATAACTGTCGTGGTGATGTGGTGAACCTTTCCCCCTTTGGAACCAATGATGTATTTGTTTGGAACCTACCTGCAGCTGGACTCCCTTCTTATCTCCGTTGTTGATGGTGAGGCGAATGCGTCCGTTCTTGTCATCGGCCACTCGGAGGGTGATCATGCCCAGGACCTCCAGGTTCTGTAGCCCTCCGTCTCTCCCACAGGTCAGGCTGATTTTCTCCTCACAACGCAGGTGCACACTGGGAACCAGAGGGCAGAGGTTCGAGACAGTTGGACATATTAACCTGCAGGTGTTTGAGTCTAACTACATTGCAGTCGGGACTGTGCAGAATCACTGATCTACAATCACTTTGCATCCCAAATAACTCCTCATTATGGGATCAAGATGAGCGATTCTGCGCCTTGCCTTCGCAAACTGATTCCTCAAACACGCAGCCTGTAATCAGTGGGATATAATATAGAACCTGGTAAACCCACCTCTCTGTGTTAACTGGTGGAGGCAGGGCTTTGGATGCCTCGGAGGGCCTCTTCCCTGAGCTGGGCATGATGACTTGTCCCTCGGACTTGAGCTTGTCCACAAAGTCATCTACCTCCTTCCCTCTGGCACTCAGCTTCAGGGCCTTACTGGGACCACTAGCCCTGTGGATGAATACATAACTCATGAGGCATAGGCCTAACTTTCTACAGTATTAAAAATACATTCTGACAAAACAAGTTTCACAAATTCCATTGAGCCTAAAAAAACCAACAAATATACTAATAAATACATCTCACAAATAAAACACAGGATACATTCACCACAACAATCAAAACATCTCAAAACCCTAATCTACCGAGGGTAGTACCTAGCAGGGACAGGTGAGGCCTTGGGTTTCTCTGGCTCCATGAGGGTGTCTGTGATGATGGTAGCGTTGCTGCTGCTGGACATGCTGCCTGTGCTGCCGAACCCTCCGGAGAACCCTGGAGACTTCTTCCCTGAGCGGTCCGCGTCCCGCCTGGCCTGCTGCAGCTCCTTAGCCTTTCTCCTCATCTCTGCCTTAGCCTCTCGCTCCTGGGTCTGAGATGGCGAGAAAACAAAGGAAAACCAAAAACCCTTTCTTTCAGACTAGTGTTGGATTTAGTAATTCAGCTATATTACAATAATAATGTAATGCTGTTCAGTTCTGCTGCTCCCCTTCATTCAGACTGCTGTTAGACTCAGTAATAATGTAATGGCAATCTGTTCATTAGTTCTGCTGCTGCTCTCCTTTCACCTCTCGGACGGCGCGGAACACCTTCTCCTCGTGAGAGTCCATCTCAGTGAATGTTCTGATCTGGGCCAGGTTGACGTTCTCCCTGTAGCCCAGCGCCACGATCTCATCAAAGGCAAAGATCAGGTCGAAACAGTGGTCTGAGATCTCCCCTTCCTCCAGCACCCGACAGTACTCTGGGATCTAAAGGAGTAATAGATTTGGTCACTTAGTCATCAATGCTCTATTCTTCACATAAATTATCCCCACTGATACTTTTACTCAGTGGCACACATTGTTTAGGCTCTGCCAAACTGAAAAATATGGTTCACGCTACTTCCAACTTGAAAACACTGTTTGAGCTACGCTTAACAAACTGTTTACATAATGGGTGTCCTCTGCCGCTCCTAGAAGTATGTGTGGGTGAGACCGTGTGAGTCTGTGGGTGGGTGACTAAGGATATTTGTGAGTGTATGTGCGTGTGAGCAGGGCATCTGTGAGGGTATGTGGAGATTTTTTGGGGTCCCCTCGTGTCGTACCACACGTGAGAAGAGACGTAGTGTCTCCAGGTCCTCTAGGATGTTGCTGTTCTTAGTGGTGACGAGCACCATGTAGAGCTTCTCCAGGGGCTGGTACACATAGCGCACGCTCTCAGTCTCCACAAACGTGTGCTGCTTGCCCGTGTTCATCAGCTTGGGGAAGGCGGCCAGCAGGCCCTCCACGCGCGTCCGGGTCATCTCCACAAACTGCCGCGACACGATGGCCTTGCCCGCCTTGGTGCACACCGCTGCTGCCAACAGCACCTGGGACAAGAGGAGGCCGTAGTTACAGAATAGCAATGAGTGAGTCCAACATATTCAAGTGTTGCTCCTATTCAGCTAATATTACAATATACACTGAGTGTACAAAATATTAGGAACACCTTAGCTACTATGCTAGCTAGCTGGCTAGATAAACATGGTGCTAAGATATCAGATAGGAGACAATAGCCAAAGCAGCTTGCTAACGTTAGCTGGTTATCATTATGAACATGCACCATTTTTCGGCAACGAGCAATCTGACTTGGGGTCTAACGTTAGCCATTTACTGGTGTGCTGATCTGACTAGCTGCAATCGTATCCATAAATTGACAGTTGATGTCGGATTAAATGATTGTAATACCTAAATAAAAAAAGGTTGGCAATAGGTTTGGCTACCCAAGATTCTTCTTGCATGTTTATGGACCAAGGAAGCTGTAGATCAGCGAGCGTGTGCGTTCTCACTTCTCAAACTACGGACAGATGAGTCATTCAGACAGAACGTGCATCGTCATTGCAGCGTTTTTCCTACACTCGCTCTCTTTGTTCGATACTATGTCATCGCAATTGAGCTAGTGCTCATAGTGGCAGTAAACAGCACCAAGTGATGTGAGCGATGGAGAGAGATGTGAGGAGATGTGAAAGGGATCGGAGTTACAGCCTCCCTATATCCAATCGTAGTAGTAGGATCAAGTTACAATCAGTCCATTGCTTGACAGATAGCTGAACTAGCCAACTGAGTTGTTTCGAATTGTCCTGAAAGCTGAAAAAATAAAAAAACATTATCCCGATCACTGAAAATTACAAAAAAAACACTAGTTTCATAAGCATCCGTGATCGCAAATCATGTTCCGTTGGACCCATTTACATTTAATAGATGTTCTTTTATATTCTCAAACTAACAGCAGTGCATATATGATGTCCTTCCATACAGGCGTGACATGCTGGAGTGTTGCTTCTATCAGGATTCATACACATTTTGACAGATGGAATTTTATGACTTTTCCATGACTTCTCCCAAACTTCCATGACCAACCATTAGCGGCGTCTCTCTGTACGTATAAAAAATTAAGCGTACTGTGGTATTGACACTGGGAGGATGCTCTCTGATCCCATGTACCATCTCCTGTTGTTGTGCAAGGCACTTAACCCCCCCCCCCCAAAGTAGAATACCTGTTAGGCAACTGAATAAAACACATGGTCAACCCTACTGGGAGTGCTCAAACACATCAGAGCAAGTTTATCAAGGTCTGGTTGAGCAGCTAATTTCTAGAATGTAGTTTGTTAGAGGGGGACTGGAATAAAAGCCTGCACACCCATTAGCTTTCCTGGAGGATGGTTGACCACCCTTGATGTATAACATTGCAACATTAAAAGCAAACACGTTTTATGCCTTTTGAAATAATTCACTAATTTAATATATCAAAGATCAAATGGCAGGCTACAAATATTTTTATTCACCTGAAGCAAGCCCACAAATTCTAGTTTAGTCTTATCTTAGAAGTGTTAACTTTGCAGGCTGACTAGCAGGGGTGTACTGGCACATGTTTAGCCTAATGGGCCTATAATCATTATCTGACTAATAAATGGGGGCCTCAACTAAAAAAAAAACAGGGCGGTGTCGGGACCTCAAAGAAAAAGAAATGCCAGGGCCACATTCTGGTCCCAGTTCGCCCCTGCTGACTAGCATCTGAGTTGCAATGTCCCATACATTGGATGCCCAAATCAACTGGAAGTATAGTGCATTCGTAAAGTAATCAGACCCCTTGACTTTTTCCAAAACACTGAAATATCACATTTACATACTGTAAGTATTCAGACCCTTTACAGTACTTTGTTGAAGCACCTTTGGCAGCCATTACAGCCTCAAGTCTTCTTGGGTATGACGCTACAAGCTTGTCACAACTGTATTTGGGGAGTTTCTCCCATTCTTCTCTGCAGATCCTCTCAAGCTCTGTCAGGTTGGATGGGGAGTGTCGCAGCACAGCTATTTTCAGGTCTCTCCAGAGATGTTCGATCGGGTTCAAGTCCGGGCTCTGGCTGGGCCACTCAAGGACATTGAGACTTGCCCCGAAGCCACTCCTGCGTTGTCTTGGCTGTGTGCTTAGGGTCATTGTCCTGTTGGAAGGTGAACCTTCTCCCCAGTCTGAGGTCCTGAGTGCTCTGGAGCAGGTTTTCATCAAGGATCTCTGTACTTTGCTCCGTTCATCTTTCCCTCCAATCCTGATGCTGCCACCACCATGCTTCACCGTAGGGATGGTATTGGCCAGGTTATGAGCGGTGCCTGGTTTCCTCCAGAAGTGATGCTTGGCATTCAGGCCAAAGACTTCAATCTTGGTTTCATTAGACCAGAGAATCTTGTTTCTCATGGTCAGAGTCCTTTAGGTGCCTTTTGGCAAACTACAAGCGGGCTGTCATGTGCCTTTTACTGAGGAGTGGCTTCCGTCTGCCCACTCTACCATAAAGGCCTGATTGGTGGAGTGCTGCAGAGATGGTTGTCCTTCTGGAAGGTTCTGCCATCTCCACAGAGGAACTCTGGAGCTCTGTCAGAGTGACCATTGGGTTCTTGGTCAGCTCCCTGACCAAGGCCCTTCTCCACCGATTGCTCAGTGTGGCCGGGCGGCCAGCTCTAGGAAGAGTCTTGGTTCTAAAATTCTTCCATTTAAGAATGATGGAGGCCATTGTGTTCTTCGGGACCTTCAATGCTGCAGAAATGTCTTGGTACCCTTCCCCAGATCTTTGCCTTGACACAATCATGTCTCGAAGCTCTACGGACAATTCCTTCGACCTCATGGCTTGTTGAAAATGATCAAAAGTAACTTCTATTGCCATTGCCAACCATGTAAAAATAGCCTACATAAAGCCAACAAATAAAAACATTGCAGCCTGCAGGCTTAGAAAATATACTGATAAATAAATATAGCCTATTAATCATATTGGCTATCTGCAAGGAACTTGAAACATTGTATCAACTATTAACTTGGGTCCAACCAGAAGCTTGCGCTAGCGAACTTGCCACATTGTATAAAATATTCTGGGCCCTCAGAGTTTCAGCGCCAGTGAGCTCGGGAAAGACACAATTGTAAGCTATTTGCGCAAGGGATAAGAAGCAGTGCTTGACTTGGGCAGGAGCCCACCGGAGCAGAGAACCAGCACCTCAAATTTTATACTGCCTGAGCTCCTGTTCAATGTTGGTTGTTCTATAGCTGATACCCTGTTTCATGGGTGCACACTCCATAGGTGCATATATGTATGCCCCCAATGCAATTATGCAGTCTAATAAATCCACAGTGGGATTTGAACAGTTTCTTTTTTACGGTTTGTCAAATTAATTAATTATTGTAATACTTTTAAATTATATAACTTTCCAACCTTCTTTAGCATTATCTATTGTTTTTGATACCTTCGGTAGCAGTACAGTTTCCATAAAGATCATTGATTTTATTTGTATTTAGATATTTTTTTGTACATACCGTGCGTAACGGCAGTAATTACTTAAGTTGCTCTGCGAAACTCCATATTTTAATAAGTACCGAACGTTTTTTGACATAACGTTTGCAGAGCTGGCTAATGTTGGGACGGACTTTGAATTGAAGGATCCTGGACGTTAGACTGAGATCTTGTCATATTCCTCCTCTCCTCAAGCCCAAGTAGTGGTTCCACCTAACCCTTACCCATTTTAAAATGTTAACTTCAACGGGGTAGGGACGTCCTAGGGATCCCGGATAGCATGGACCATTCCACTATTGTGGGTAGCCTCACACAGGTATTACATTGGCAAGCTTGGTATAGAAGCTGGGATCCTCAATTTTAACTCGAGTCATGCTAGGCCGGGAATGACATCTAGACATTTCACTAGTCATTTATAGAGTGGCTATGTTGTAAACTTTGCCATCTAACCAATACCAGTTAAATGACTCACAATTAACTAGCTGAAAGCCAATATAGCTAACGTTAGCTAGCTAGTGAGGCCTGCTGCTACAAAACAGACGTAAACGCTAACTAGCTGACGTTAGCTGAGCTGGCATTTATCGATGAGATGGTGCATGAAAGCGCTATTGATAGCTAGCTAACGTTAGCTAATGATATACGGCCCAATATATACTTAAGGGAAGTATATTTGCCTGCATACGCAGCAAAATGATCAATGTTAACTTGCTAGCTACTGTAGCTAAATTGTTAGCTATCTGCAACTGCAATGTTCACAGTCAAGCCGAACAAGACAGCTAGCTAGCTGCTAAATACAGTAGATCAATTACATTTCATAACTCACCATTTTGTTGTTATCCCTTGTGCTACAAATCCTTGTGCAGTTTCCGTAATATAATACCACGTATTAGTGTCTAAAATATAATATTAATGCGGAGTGAAACTTGCGTCTGTTTAACTTACAGGCTCAATATGGAAGGACCTCTAGCCACGTCTCCACCGGAAAGAGCTCGTCAGCAAGGTATGTGTTATTACTAGTTACCACAGCCACAAAGTCCAAATTGGCTATGTCGTAAAGATTAATGTCGTAAAAATTCGCTTTTTAGTCTTACTTTTAAGTTTAAGTTAGCAGTGTGATTATGGTTAAGGTTAGGTTTCAAATCTGATTTTAAGTCCCGTGTAGCTCAGTTGGTAGAGCATGGCGTTTGCAACGCCAGGGTTGTGGGTTCGATTCCCACGGGGGGCCAGTATGAAAATGTATGCACTAACTGTAAGTCGCTCTGGATAAGAGCGTCTGCTAAATGACTAAAATGTAAATGTAGGAAGAGAAAGTGTATAAATGGGCGGGGTTTATGACTTTGTGGCTGTGGTAACTAGTGACGACCAGAAAGGCAGCGACGAAAAAATGAACATGTGGAAGATAGGGTCAAAGATGGTAGATAAGTGAAGATAGTCCTCTCAAGCCGTTTACCATTTAAAAAAATGGTAAGTTCCGGTCTACTTAACGGGTTGGTTCTCCCATAGACACCAATGGAGCTGGGCCTGGTCCACTGATATATAATAGAGCTCGCCAATTTGTAGTCCTAAAATCCGGAAATGAGTTACCTCTAGTTCGTTCAGCCATGGCGATGGCGAAAATGAATGGGGAAAGAATAGGGTTTTGGGATAAACGCCTAAAATAAGGTATTTTTTTCTATGAGATAATATCAGTCAGTAAACATGAACTTTATGAATTTTGTGCTTTATGTGCATTTTATAATTACATAAATGCTTCACAATTCACAAAAAGTGATGTTAAATGATGATTATCTCATAGAATAAAATGTATAAGAACTTCATTCATTTTCCCATAGGTTTTGTCCAACGAACCATAGCGGAGTTAGTGCCTACAAAAAGACTCCATTACTATTGCTCTTTATTATAAGAACTGGAGACTGCGTCCAAGATGTCTGACCGTTGTTTTCACGGTAATCTACTCATGTTCGCATACGCTGATTCATGGACCTTCTATATCCAGGTTGCATCCGGTTTATATGGACCAACATCACATGCGCACTAGCGCTCAGTGTGTACAGGGAGCAGTGTGAGCAGCGACGAAGTCATCCAAAAACATGGAAGACATTGGATGATTTAAAAAAAAAAGAATATCTTCATCTGTGAGTGCTGGGGGAAAAATGTGTCTTATTAGGAATTTTCTAATTTGACTTCTCTATGTGGCCGTCTATGGAAATTGTATTTTCCTGGGCCAGGCATCAGTTAAACTGCAGTACCGAATTAAAACTGTAGGAGCAGTAGAAACTGTGCTTCTAGACAAAAGTGGTTATAGCTTTGACTGCATGCTGACAGTGAATTCAGAGCCATTCAGTGGCTAGCTACACTTCAAACATAATTTTACCAGGTTCCTGTGAAGCAATTGTATTGACAGTCCACCACAACATACCCAAGAGTTTCCTGATTAGCAAGGAGTAGTCTGTGTTTAATTTCATTGTGTATTAGAAACATAGTTTGAGATCATTGTGAGGGGATTTTGCCAGTGGTTGAATGTGAAATTGGGCTTCCCGGGAAAATGTTATCCGAGGTTGCAAGAGTAACCAAGGGTGGCTTAGCGAAGGGTACATTTTCTTCTTCACGATTGGCTGATCCCTCCTGATTACCCAGTTGGACATGACTCCAACAGGGTCACCAGGAGGGATCAGCCAATGAAGTTGGAACATTCCCACCCAGTTGACTACATTAAAATGGTGTAAGTCCTCAATGGCGCTGCCCATGCTAATATGGCCTTTTGGCCACTAAAAGCTTCTTATCATTCTCCATGGTCTTGGCTACTTACTGTAGTTCATTGGGCTCATTTGAGTGGTAAGGCTGAAGCAACCGACTGCAGACGAAAGTCGAGGAGTGAAGTCTGGGGAGGTGCATCTGCATCACTGTAACCACATTTCCCTCCACAGTTTTTATGCGAGTAAAGTCATACCTTATAAAAAAAAAAATCAGGACAGCTGTGATGAAGGTAGTTTCGGTACAATTGTATAAATGCCGACAGATAATTTGTTCGTTTGACATGGTGGGATCTTTTTGTGTCAGTAAAATTAATTAGGCTATGTGAGAAATGATGGAGGAAATACCTTTATTCGCAAATATTGATATAATAACCATCATATCGAAGTAAACTGCGAGTTGCGATGGTATGGTGTGTGGTCCTCCCACTACGACTCGGTAAAGCATGCAGTTTATCTGTCTACAGATGAAATAAATTATGATGAACTTCACAGGGTGGTGAAAAAGCACTGTGATCTTGATGCCGCTTTCCAATAAATATTGAGGGTCTTATTCTGGTGATGATGATCGATGCTTGACTGCCGTTTTTTTTTACGTCGTTTTGACGTCATGAAAAATACCTCTTATATTGGTTGTGATCTGGTTTTTGGTTGAAATCTGATTGAACTGCTGACCTGTGTTCTAAATGCTACTCAATTAATAGACACCAATTTATATAAACGTGCATAGTGTTTGTCGTCACTAGAACCATTACAGTTATTAATTTTGGAGTAATGTTATTTTTCAGCAGGGTTTGTTTGCATGGTTCAGTTTAGCACACTTGGCAAACAGCTGGCCAGTGCCAGCGTTATGGGCGGGCCTTAGGGGGCCTGGGCCGCCCTACCATACCTCCTTGCCCGTCCAAATAAAATATTAAAATATTGATCATTTATTTGACTGAGATGGGCGCCGACAGAAAGACGAATCAATATCAGATAAAGCATCCGATCGAGCGAAACAGCGCCCCTCTGTCTCAGTACGGGTATACCATGTATCTGATGCTGTCTGGACAAAAATACTATTGCTGCTGCCATATGTACATAGACATGGAATCACTGGTCACTTTAATAATGGAACACTGGTCACTTTAATAATGTTTACATACTGTTTTACTCATTTCATATGTATATACTGTATTCTTGTCAATGCCATCCTATTCAGCTATTGCTGTATATATACTATTCTATCCTATGTATTCTACAGATATACTACATATTATATCCACATACTTTCAATAACATCTATACATTCCATCACACACATTCACTACCGGTCAAAAGTTTTAGAACACCTACTCATTCAAGTTTTAATTTAATTTTTTTACTATTTTCTACATTGTAGAATAATAGTGAAGACATCAAAACTATGAAATAACACATATAGAATCATGTAGTAACCAAAAAAGTGTCATTGTCCTGTTGAAAAACAAATGATAGTCCCACTAAGCCCAAACCAGATGGGATGGCGTATCGCTGCAGAATGCTGTGTCACCAGCAAAGCACCCACACACCATAACACCTCCTCCTCCATGCTTGACGGTGGGGAATACACATGTGGAGATCATCTGTTCACCCACACCGCGTCTCACAAAGACACAGCGGTTGGAACCAAAAATCTCAAATTTGGACTCCAGACCAAAGGATACATTTCCACCGGTCTAATGTCCATTGCTTGTGTTTCTTGGCCAAAGCAAGTCTCTTCTTATTGGTGTCCTTTAGTAATGGTTTCTTTGCAGCAATTCGACCATGAAGGCCTGATTCAAACAGTCTCCTCTGAACAGTTAATGTTGAGATATGTCTGTTACTTGAACTCTGTGAAGCATTTATTTGGGCTGCAATTTCTGAGGCTGGTAACTCTAATGAACTTATCCTCTGCAGCAGAGGTACCTCTGGGTCTTCCATTCCTGCGGCAGTCCTCATGAGAGCCAGTTTCATCATAGCGCTTGATGGTTTTTGCGACTGCACTTGAATAAACTTTCTAAGTTCTTGAAGTGTTCTGTATTGCCTGACCTTCATGTCTTAAAGTAATGATGGACTGTCGTTTCTCTTTGCTTATTTGAGCTGTTCTTGCCATAATATGGACTTGGTCATTTACCAAATAGGGCTATCTTCTGCATACAGCAGGGTTGTCACAACACAACTGATTGGCTCAAACGCATTAAGAAGGAAAGAAATTCCACAAATTAACTTTTAAGAAGGCACACCTGTTAATTGAAATGCATTCCAGGTGACTACCTCATGAAGCTGGTTGAGAGAATGCCAAGAGTGTGCAAAGCTGTCATCAAGGCAAAGCGTGGCTATTTGACGATTCTCAAATATATTATATTTGTTTAACACTCTTTTGGTTACCACATGATTCCATATGTGTTCTTTCATAGTTTTGATGTCTTCACCCCCCCATCAATCTACACACAATACCCCATAATTACATTTACATTTACGTCATTTAGCAGACGCTCTTATCCAGAGCGACTTACAAATTGGTGCATTCACCTTATAGCCAGGTGAATGCACCAATAATGACAAAGCAAAAATGCACCAATAATGACAAAGCAAAAACAGGTATTTAAAAAGTCTGTAATTTGGAAAGGCACACACCTGTCTATGTAAGGTCCCACAGTTGACAGTGCATGTCAGAGCAAAAACCAAGCCATGAGGTTGATGGAATTGTCTGTATAGCTCCGAGACAGGATTGTGTCGAGGCACATTGAAGGTCCCCAACAACAGTGGCCTCCATCATTCTTAAATGGAAGAAGTTTGGAACCACCAAGACTCTTCCTAGAGCTGGCCGCCCGGCCAAACTGAGCAATTGGGGGAGAAAGGCCTTGGTAGAGTGGCCAGACAGAAGCCACTCCTCAGTAAGGCAAATGACAGCCCGCTTGGAGTTTGCTAAAAGGCACCTAAAGGACTCTCAGACCATGAGAAACAAGATTCTCTGGTCTGATGAAACCAAGATTGCACTCTTTGGCCTGAATGCCAAGCGTCACGTCTGGAGGAAACCTGGCACCATCCCTGCGGTGAAGCATGGTGGTGGCAGCATCATGCTGTGGGGATGTTTTTCAGCGTCAGGGACTGGGAGACTAGTCAGGATCAAGGGAAAGATGAACGGAGCAAAGTACAGAGGGATCCTTGATGAAAACCTGCTCCAGAGCACTCAGGACCTCAGACTGGGGTGAAGGTTCACCTTCCAACAGGACAA